CATCTTTCATTAAAAGATAACTCAATAGTATCACGAACTGTACAAATAATTGGATGAGTTAATTTTGTTTCTATTTGAAATAAATGTTCTTGTAATTTGCAAATTGTTGGAAGCATCATTGATAATGTTGGATAATTATTTCCACTCATAAACTTAGTAGCATGTGCGAAAGGTTTTAATAAATTTACTAATTCTTTAATACCAAGTAGATCAGTATCATTTAAAATTAAACTTTCTAATGTTTTAGCATCTTTTCTAATTAAACGGTCTTGATCATGACTTAAATCTTGTTGTAAAGCTAATATTGCTGGATAAAGATCAAGTAATCGATTTAATAAAAAAAATGTAGAATTCCAGCATGTAGAAACATCACTTATAGCATCTAAAACAATAATTTCTTGCTCACGAATAGCTGGATTATCTTGTTTTTTTATTTCTATTTGTACTAGCCGAAATCGTTCTCTATATTTATCTCTAGATGTTAAAAAACTATTTAAAGATTTAGCTTTATGAAGTAACTCACTTAATTCAGTAGTTTTTAATCCATCTAAAATAGAAAGCTGAATCGTATGTGCTGTACATCTAATATGAGTTACACCAAAATCGTGCATAGCTTTTATATTTACTGCTGCACTATCTGTTATGCCAGCTATACATTTATCTGTTATTTTCCATTTAGAGCACTCATGTCTTAAATAATCTTCTAATTGTTCAGCACTATGTGGATAAGGAAAACTTACAATAGTTAAAAGAGCATTATTTAATTGAAAATCTTCTGTAAGCCAATGCGCTGTTATACCAATAAAAGGTTTATGTACTTCTGTCCATAAATCCGTAGTGAAGCTAAAGGTTTCAAGAGTATTTTTAATTATAGTACTTAAAGATATTTCAGAATGATTTACAGAATGATAAAGTTTTTGTTTAAAACTATTTAAACAAAGAAATTTATAGCGTGGTTCAGTCTCATGTAATATATCTTGAAACTTTTGATTTGATAAAGTATTAAAAGATTGCATATCATCAACAACCCATGATAAAATTCTTGAAGTAATACGATTAGCCTTTGTAGCAGATAATGGAGGTTTATTATTAATTACATCTAAAAGTGTTTGCTGTGTAGGATCTTTTTGTGCAATTCGTACATTTTTACTTGAAGATTTTATAGTATTTAATGGAAGCAATGAACCAGTTTCAGATAATCGATGTTCTGTTCGAAGATGTCCAGCCAAAGTTGTAGTACTAGTACCAATTGCAAATTTATCGTTACATTTTTGAGTTTTATTATTTATAGTTACAAACACATCACATGTTGTTATATTTTTTAAGTGATCTTTTCTCATATAGTTCCATACCCAACTTTTAACTGGTCTTCTTCTTTTTTTTTGTGAGGTTTCTTTGCTAATTGCTGAATTATTATCTGTACTTGGATCTGAATTTGGCTTAATATTCAATTGACTGCTTTTAGCATCTTCGCTTAAATCAGAATCACTATCCTGATCTTGAAATTCTTGATAGAATGAATCTGGTAATTCCATTTTACTTAATTAAAAATTTCTAAATTACTTTAGAAATATATTTATATACGTATTGATTTTTATTTAATGATGATTATTATTTGCCATATCTTGTTATTAATATATATAAAGTAAACCTTATAACAATAGATAATATAATAATGTGTTTCTAAACATAATTTTTCTACATATAACAAAACCTGTTAAAATCACTGCTCTTATTTTTATTATAATCAATCTATTCCATATTAAGTTAAAGAAATTTTTGAACAACATAATAATACCAAATAAGTATAGATATGTTAGAAGAATTACGTAGTAGTAAACAAAATGTTTTAAAAGTATTGCTTATCAATGAGAATATTACTGTATTCTAAAATAAGTAAACCAGGAACGGATGAATGTAAGCCTAATTTAGAAAATGTTGGACAACTCCAATACAGAATAGTTATATTTTAGATAAATATCGGAAACACAACTAAATACAATAGAACTATATTAATATGAAATGCTATAATTTAAATAAGCAAGAAATTTCATAAGATTTTAAATATGTATAAAGTATAGAGTGTAAATACTGTATCTCTTTAAAACATGCTGTGCCAATTCACTATAGTTTTCTAATACTAACCTTAATAACACATAATGCAAGAACAGTTATTAAAAATAGGGGTATTTCACACCCCATATCGTACTTATCTGTTCATAATAATGCTAATCTGCATAATTTAGAAATGTTCATGGCAGATGATAATTATACAGACTAATGTGGATAAGAA